GCTTCACAAAGGGTCCTGATGTCTTGACCCCAGAGTTCCCTCAGAAGGAAAATCTCCTCTAGCATCTCAGCTCTTCCTCTGGGCAGCTACCATGTGTTTGTTACATCTAGAGAACGTGCTAAATGTGCAGACAGATCCTCGGGACTGAAAAGGGTAAGTGGTAGGTCAGGAACAGCGATAAAGAAGCTACCTTTTAGAAATTGTTGAGGGTGAGCACATCTTCTATTAAGTTTTTATTTGCACATTTCAGTTTTCGGTTTTCTGAGACAGTGTTTTTATGTAGACCAGTCTGGCCCTTGAACTTACAGTGATATTCCTGTGTCACCCAGACTTCTGGGAAGAGAGGCATAAGCTACCACACCTGACAAAGCATCTTTGTAACTTGGTAGCAAAGAGAGATGCAAACATGTGTTCTGGTGGCACAAAGTATTGGCGATTGAATACAGGACCTTGAACATACACTAGACAAGTGGTATTCCCTGAACTCTATTTCTAGTTTCCCCACCCCAAATTAAGAAATATTATGGGTGGTGAAGTTTATTACAATATAATTTTAATTTCAAAATAATTGCACCTATGTACATTAATTAAATGCTTTATATCTGTATATTATATATGCCAGCACATGCCCCTGTGGTCTGCTTTTGTACATAACAGGCATTTCTACTTTACTAGGATATTTCATACTTCCTTTTCTGTTTTGTTTTGTGAGTTTTGAGATTGGTCTCACTATGTAACCCAGGTTGAACTTGCTATTCTCCTGCATCAGTCTTCATAGTGCTGGGATTTCATGTGTGGACTACCACAACTGCCCTCATAATTCTTTTTAATGCTATGCCAATAAGCCACCACCAAGAGGATCCAGCTGGCTGATAGTGGTACCTGTTGGGTCCAGGCCACAAGAAAAGCTGCGCACATACTCCCAGCACCATGTACCTTCTGCTCAATGATCACTCGTGTACACACTAGAAGGACTGGTTCTAGAAACTTTCCCTGGAGGCCAAGAATTGCCGGGTGACAGGCTAGGCAAATACTACTTGAAGGCACCTCCCGAATGGATATGGGCCTTGTCCCTATTAGAACCCAGCACGCGGCACAAGTTGATTCAAGCCTCGGGGCGTCAAAGTACTCGATCTGTGCGGGCCAGGTTTCCAACTGAGGGCCTGTCAGAGGCACACTGTAAAAGTGATGAATGGCTGTCACATTTCCAAGGCTCTGGCTGATTTAGAGAGCTATTGGCAGGCACATTGCTCCCAGCATGTCAGCCAGTTAATTACTTCCAACTTTATCTTTTTTGTCAGCGCTTCTTGACAAACTGGCTGTTATCTTTTTCTTCTGCAGCAGTGAACACTGCTCCTCTTCTGACGATGTCTGGAGGCTTTTCTCTCTTTTTCTGCTTCTTCTTGGGGAGAGACTAAGAAAGATGCATCTGGTGGGGAGGGCTCAAAAGCTTAACCAGAAGCTAGTTTGATCAACTTGGATGCAAAGCAAACTAGGTATTCTGGGTGAGGTCTGACTTTGGCCTCTGAGTGGCCAAAATCTGAGATTGAGTCTAGCACAGGCAGCTGAGAAACACAAACAGGTTGGCATGGAGTGATCAAGCAGCTTTTAGATATGCCTTCTGTAAAGGCAATGTGGGCTGCCCTATACTCTGTTAGGGACAAGGTCACATTGTAGGAATACTGATGTCCCTTCTGAGGTTACAGGAAAGAAATCTTTTTGCTAAGGAGGATGCTTAGGAGAGGTGGCACAGCATATCGGAACAGGAAGCCTCACAGGCAGTGAAAGGGCCCAAAGCATTTGGAGACACCAGTGGTGTCACCACTCATACATTTCACACAGTCACAGAGATAAATGGGACCTAAGTCCCAGAACACTTATTAGGGGAAGCATGTTCTCCCCTTGGAGTCCCACTTCCATTTGACAGGTTCCAGTAAGGCATTATGCCTCAGGCTTCGTGCTGAGAGCCAGATGCAGCTACCACAGTGGACAGACGAACAGGGCCTGTCCTTCACAGAGGTTACAGGTTAGTTAGTGCCATAGGCAGATTCAAAAACAACAAAGCAAAATAAATGTCATGGTGATGGGAACAATGGGAAAATAAAGCACCAGACAATAACATGAGGACTGATTCCAGACTAGGAAAGGGACTTTCCCAAAAAGATGGTGACATGCAATGCTTGAGATAAAGGCACCTGTCCCCATGATTTATATGCATCATCTATTTTTAAACAAATTTCTAGAAGAAGTACACGGTAGAGAATGTTCCTAAGTGCACAAGATGATGGATTATCAGAGGAAACACACACTTCAGACTTCCAGCAGACCAAGACAATGCAGGACAGTGCACTGCAACTCCAGATGCCTCCTACTCCAGCCATCCTGTCCCCCAGCGTGACTGTCACTGTCTTCTAACACTTAGCCTTCTGAGCTTTTATTTCCTCAAGATTTATCTTTATTTTATGTGTATGAATGATTTGCCTGCATAGATGTCTGCCTCACACGCATGTGCCTGAAGAAGTTAGATTGGAGCCCCTAGAACTGGGGTTATGGACAGTTGTGAGGCACCATAAGGATTCCGAGAATCAAACCTTGGTCCTCAAGCAACAGGTGCTGTTAAGCCCTGAGCCATCTCCCCAGCTCTTTGCTTGTTAGTTTCTGAACTCTGCGTGAACCTCAACACATCATGCTGCTGCATGCCGCCACAGTTTTCCCTTCCCATTGTGGCAGTAATTCCACTGTGTGAGACACATGGCCTATGCGGCTGCTGATGGATTTTGTGCTGACCTCAGTGCCTGGTTATTGTGAGTGCCCTTTCTATGAACACTCCTGGACATGTCTTTCAGAGCACATGTGCTTGCACTGCTGTTGAGAAAAGACCTAGAACTGCTAAAGCACAGGCTATGTGCAGCTCTGTAAGACACCATGTTGTTTCACTGTTTATACAGTTCCCTCAGTTGTACACAAACAATCTACTTTTCTGTCAACATTTGGCAGTTTTAGTTTTCTACTTTCGCCCTTCTGGCTGGTGTACAGAGGCATCTTGTCAAGGTTGAAGTGTGAATTTCCATGCTGATTCATGAGCTGTTGGAACCCTGCATGTGTTTATGGCCCTTCAGATCTCCTCCATCATGAACTTTGCCTGCTAGCAAGTTTCACTGGGTAGTAGTAGTCTTTATACTCACTGGACCCGGGATACACAAGAGCACACAGTGCAAACACTGCCAGACTTTCTACCCATTCTCAGCATCATCTACTGAAAAGAAATGACTACTTCCTTGCATTTCCTTTTCTTTTTACCATGCAGCTCAGGCTAGCCTTGAACTTGCCGTGTAGCTCAGCTGGTCAAAACCTTACAATCCTCCTGCCTCTGCCCTCTGAGTGCTGAGATATCAGGAGAGTACCACCACAACTAGCCTGTATACCTTAATGTTTTCCCTGACGTTGGCAGTTTTACTATCTGGCTTATCTCAAGACGCTGAAGATAATCTCCTATATCATTGTGTTATGATCTTGCCTTTCATACCCAGAATTTAAATGTAGAACTGAGATTTTATGTATGGTGTGAGGTGAGGATCAAAATTCGATTGTTTTCTGCCTGAATGTTAACCATCTGCTTCACTACACTTACTGCAAAGGTTGATTTGTCCCCAGTGCTCTCTGTGGCACCATGACACTATGGTTCTGGGACAGCATGATCAGCTGGGATGTTACTTATGTAATCATATGGTACATGGCACTTCTGTGAGTCACGGTTTTAACAGAGCATCACTGGATAGACATGAGGTTACTTTAAAGAGCTCCACAAAGTTTAGTAGACTTTGAATGATGCTAAACACTAATAAACTCCATGGAACCAATGAAGGCTATTATCTTGCTAAACTAGCTATTTACTAAGAAAAAAAAAAAAAAAAGAAAAGAAAAAGAAAAGCTAAGGAGCCAGAAACCCCAGATGGAAAAGGCTAAGAGGGGTTATGGCAGGAAGAGCTGTGCAGTGTCAGATTTTGGTGTGGGACCCATGCTGAGTATCAAGTCAACTGGATGCTTCAGTGGCTCACCAACACAGAAACAACACACACATGTTCCAAAGACAGAGCTCCTGCCATAATGACAAAGGGACCTTTGTCTACAGTTTTAGGGAAATTTTCCATGTTTTAACATGCTTTTAAAAAGAGCACAGCCCTTCAAGTAAAGGGTATAAGAGCTATAATATTCTCAGACAAAGTCACGTGTAGGTACAGGGGGACTAACAACAAGCTGCAAACCACACTGCATGGAGAGAGGGAACCTAGACTCCTGATATGGATTTACTAGGTGTCCGGAATGTTTTCTCTTAAGTATGAACATCGGGCAAAGGTTGAGCCTACTTACTGCTGCCCAGACACTGACAGAAGTGTGGGCGACCCGTCCCAGACCACACCTGGCATGGCTGAGTTTTCCTCTCTATCGTCAAGTGATCTTTTTGGAAGGAAAGTGTGTAAAAAGGAAGACAGCCCCACAGATACAAACTGCTAATTCAGGTTTAACAGGATTTTGTAAAACACTGAATGATGACCAGAAAAAGATGTCTCCAGCCAAGTTAAAACTCATCTTAGCCCAAATAAGCCAGAACCTGAGTAAACAGCAAGGATTACCTTAGCAGGCCTCCCTAGCTCGGCAGTCTCAGGCCCAGCTTTTTCACCACCTCACCCTCAGTGTATGTTATGTAACCTTCAGACAGGACTTTGGAAACTCTTGCACTCTGCCTTTCTGCTGATAGAGCTGAGCCAGTGGCTGGCAGGGCATCATCTAGCAGGCACAACTGCAGACAAACTCACAGCCCTCCTGTTGGAGCCCAGAGACTGTGCAGACAAGGAAACAAACACTTGCCCTGTCCCCCTCCTCCTCTCCTCTGGCCTAAGTTTACTCTGACTTCACTCAACAGGCACCTGACCCTCCCAGATGAGGTGGGAGGGGCCTTAGCACACAGGGCCATGGTAGGGGTGGCGGTACAGGCACTGACAATATTTAAGATGCCGCCTTGGTAGAGCATTCAGACTTGGGAAGGAAAGTGTTCGCATATCCACCGAGATCCACTTCAGAAACTCTAGCTTTGAGAAAAGCGAAGAAAACGCAGAGGAAGAAGATCACCAGGAAAGAATAAAACTGCCAGTGTGAGTCAGAAAGTAAGCTTTCCACTTCCACTAGGTACAGACTCTAAGAGGAAGACTTGTCCCACAGACCTACAGAAAATGCTGAGAACAACCTGGCTATGTATTATCCTCGTGGCCTTTGTCAGCAGCCCTGCATGGCTGCAGAAGCCTCCTAAACGTAAGCCACAGCTCAAAGCAGCCATCTGCTGTGAGGAGATGAGGGAGCTCAAAGCCCAGGTTGCCAACCTCAGCAGTCTGTTGGGTGACCTGAGCAAGAAGCAGGAGAGCGACTGGGTCAGTGTGGTCATGCAGGTGATGGAGCTGGAGAGCAGCAGTAAGCGCATAGAGTCTCGGCTCACAGCTGCTGAGAGCAAGTACTCTGAGATGAACAACCAGATCGACATCATGCAGCTACAGGCAGCACAGACCGTCACACAGACCTCGGCAGGTAAGTGCTGCCCTCATACCCCTCCCTCATCGTGCTCCTGCTGAGGGTCTCCTGGCCCCAGCACTGCTTTTGGATAGCCTGCTCAACACAGCAACTTCAGGGACCTTTGGGAAGGGCACTATCTATAACTGCCTAGTCTTTGGGTCAGTGTTTAGCCAGGACCTAAAGGTCTCTATTTGAGACAAAGTCTCATGTTGCCCAGGCTGGCTTCAAACTCATAGGTAGCCTAGGCTGGCCCTAGACTCTGGATCCTACTGCCTTAGTCTCCCAAGCACTAAAAGTACAGGCATGAACCATCATGCCTGGCTCCACAGTCTAGCTGAATCACACCAATTTCGGCACATTAGTAGTCTGAGCTCCCTCTGAAGTCTGTCCAAAGTCACTCAAGGTTGGTATGGCCTGACTATCCTTTACAGAGAGCTGGCAGACCATAAAGAGAACAGGAACAAACCACAAACTGTGGCAGCTGATGCTCTAGATACAAAGTTTTACCCCACCCAGTGTTTTGATATCCCCAGAACATAGTGTGGATGGGTGCAAATGCCACTTATGTCACCTCACAGGTACAGACACTGCTGCAGCCATTTGTGGAAAACCTTTATGCTTAAAAAAGGACAGAGTCCTTGAGAGTCCTGATCTATTTTCTCCCATGGTTGCTAATAAAACTCTCCCAAAAACTAGAGAACAAGTAAATGTAACACTAAAATACTGATCTTTAATGGCTGAAAATAAGGCATATACAATGAGTTCTTTGGGGAAACAACATTCAGTTGTTGGTTAGCTTGCCACAGATGAGCCAATAAGTGAATTTGCTGCTCAGAGAAAAATCTAATTTTCTGAGGTTACTGGAAATCATTTGGAATGAGCAATCTTCAATAGATGAAGCATTTCTCACTAATGCTTACTGCATAATGAAGTAAGTCAAGAAGACATGATTAGCCTCCAGTAGGTAAGACCCTGGCTATCCCTGGTTCAGACAAAGGAAAAGTTTTGCCCCAAGTTCAGCTTGAAAAGTCTGTTAGCTAATTAAACAGATACAAACCACTTTCAAAGCATGGGCCTCCTGACCCTCAGTTTGGGAATGGAAAGACAGGTGTTCTCATTTACCAGAAAAGTGAGTCTTCATTTGATCTGAGGTAAAACTGGTCACATAGATCAGGCCAGATGCAGAGCTGACTGTACAATCTTCTTGCTCCTAGTAGTCGCCTGGGAGGAAGTGCAGGTACCTCATTTCCCCTTCCCCAACATGCTGTGAGAAAACCAGGCGCTTTGGAATCTCCGGCTTCCATCTGTGCTTTTCCCTAAGCCTGCAGCCCAGTGGGTACCAAGGAAAGTCCTAAGACAATATGCAGGAATATTATAGCCACAGGCTCTACTAGAAGTAGCTACTTCTTTGAAGCCCCAGTACAGAGCTGCAGCAAAGGCAGCCAAGGCAGCTTTTAAATCAAGCCCACGGGGAAGTGGCAGAGCCTCATTTCCTTGTTTTATTAAAACTTTCAGGGAATGGTCTCAAAGCGCTCCTTGGAGTTTTGGTTTTCATTTGAGCATGTATCAATATGAGATCAGGAGGGGATAAGATTTCAAATATGTCTCCCTTAATTGAATACCAGTTGCCAATAGCTATTATCTGAGAAATAACAACAAACCAAACCCTCTGAGATACTCAGGCCTTAGCCTCTAGTTGAGGTCCCACCAAAGAAGCCTGATGCTACTCACAGGACAGCTGCCACATGACCTTCACAGACTACAGCATTTCTGGAGTTCATGGCATGAAACTACAGCAGGGTATCGACTTAACCCAAAGCTTCCTGTTTAACTATCCCTTGGCACAGGTGAAGGGCTTCCCTATTCTCCTGCCCCATAACCAAGGAAGCCCAAACATGCCCCTTCAAATCAATGCCCATGTCTCTAAATACCTCAGGGGAACTATCCATGGGTACCCTGAGTAGAAATAAAGTCTTGGTTTTTAATCCAGTTCAGATGTAACAGGCATGCCCTCTCAACCTCAAGGCCCAAATCTCTTTTCATTCCATGTGTTCTCTAATAGATGCCATCTATGACTGCTCTTCCCTCTACCAGAAGAACTACCGAATCTCCGGGGTGTACAAGCTTCCTCCTGATGAATTCCTCGGCAGCCCTGAGCTGGAGGTGAGGTACTACTGCCATGTCCTACCCTTTGTCCTCCAGCCCTAAAAGGCATGGAGACAACATGGCTTGGTCTGGTCTATAGAAAGGAAAATTCAGAGACGCAAATGCACCAGATGATGGTGCTATGCGAATGCTTAGTTTGTGGGATCCCCCATCCATTCCAGCCATCTATTTTCTCCAAATCATCAAAGTATCAACTTCTAATTGTTACCAATCACAAGTTCAAAGCTCTTGCAAAGTCCTAGAGCAACTGTTCTTTAGGAAAGAAGACATGAGAAGGAGGCACACTGAAGGACCTCATTTTTCCATTAAGTTGTGTTCACACTGGCCCCCAACCCCCATAGATATGATTCCCAAGCTAGCCAGCTCTGTGCCCCAGCCCCTCCACACTGGGGGCACTAGTCTGCTGCACTGTGCAGAAAGTTCATGGGTTACTGACTCCAAGGTAGAGCACACAGGTTGGAAAGTCGGTCCTCAAGCTCCTGCTCCTGCCCTTGCCCCCGCCCAGAGAATCCTCTCTTCTTCAGGTATTCTGTGACATGGAAACCTCTGGTGGAGGCTGGACCATCATCCAGAGACGTAAGAGTGGCCTTGTTTCCTTCTACCAAGATTGGAGACAGTATAAGCAGGGGTTCGGCAGCATCCGAGGGGACTTCTGGCTGGGGAATGAGCACATCCACCGGCTTACCCGGCAGCCAACACGGCTCCGCGTGGAGCTGGAGGTAAGCTCAAGCTGTGAGGCCCTGACCAGCCCAGGCCTGCTGTGTATGTGGTGCTAAGGCATCACCACACGTTACTCACTACAGGTGGGAACAGTCACTGCAGAAAATTTCCTGAAGGCTCAGTGCAGTTAAGGTTTTTTTTTTTTTCTTTCTATCTTTCAGCACAGTTAAACTATAGCTGGCCCAGGTCTAGGAAGACCCAAGCCAGAACAGGGTAAACCCACAGTTATTGGGATGGAAACACCATCATCTTTGCTCTGGGATATTTTTAAATACAAACCTCAGTGATGTTGGGTGGTTGAAGCCTCTAGATGGCTTCAAGCACAATGTTTCCAGTTATTCCAACAACATCTCAGAGTGAGATTTAACAAAAACATCACACACACATCTGCCCCTTTGAGACATGAAGGAGTGCAAACAGAGCACTTCAGGTCATATGGTGAGTCCAGACCCAAGTTTGGACTCTGACTTCTAGCTAACATGGTGAACTCTAAGTTTTACCAGAGTTCCACCTCTGAAGAAATGTTTGGCTGTGGGGCTATTGAGAGAGGAAGGGCTCAGGGCCCGCAGCAATGAAATCCCTTATGGTTTCTCTAAGGCTTTGCTCCTTCTTGCCAGGACTGGGAGGGCAATGCACGTTACGCGGAGTACAGCCACTTTGCATTAGACAATGAGATGAACAGCTACCGCCTCTTCCTGGGGAACTACAGTGGCAGCGTGGGGAAGGATGCCCTCCTTTACCATAACAACACGGTCTTCAGCACCAAGGACAAGGACAATGATAACTGCTTGGACCAGTGTGCACAGCTCCGAAAAGGTGAGACTTAGGAGGCAGGGGAGAGCTCAGGGTCACAGTCCCACTAAGGACAAGCAGGGAGCTGCAGATTTGCACAGCTGGTGCTCTGGCTGTGCTGCTCCCTCTGCAATCAGCTTTAATGCCATCAGTCAGCCACAGTCTAAGGAGGGCATCCCCAGCCTACTAGCTTCATGTGTTTCTCATACCAGGTGGCTACTGGTACAACTGCTGCACTGATTCCAATCTCAATGGGGTGTACTACCGCCGGGGGGAGCACAAGAAGCATATGGATGGCATAAGTTGGTATGGTTGGCATGGAGCCAACTACTCCCTCAAACGGGTGGAAATGAAGATCCGTCCAGAAGCCTTCAAGCCCTAAAGAGAAGACTGCAGAGCTATGCAAGTGAGGCATGTGGAGGCTGAGGAGGGCAGAGCAGCATGGGAGGAGGGTGGATAAAGGGTAGGAAGGAAATGGCCTATCACCTTCAAGGAAAAGCCACTCTCTAAGGTGCATGATAGAACTTTATCTGTGCCCTCAACATGAGCACATACACACACAATAGAACCACATGCACCAAACAGTACGAACTAGCAAATGGTGACACAGTCAGACCCAATGGGGCCTGCTACAGATGCCTCAGGGGGAGGACTGGGTGGGTCCACAGAGCAGCAGCTCATCTTCTACATGACTTATGTGTGGAAAACAGTAATCCTGAGGTCACTTTATCCATTTTCCCTGAGGCTTACATGATACAAGCAAAAAGAACTAAAAAGAACCACTGAGTTTCTCAGAGGAGAGGCCGTGAAAAATGAAAGCAGATGGCAGAAGTGGCTTCCTATTCTTAAATCCCAAGACATTTCCTGTGTCTATAGGACTTGTTGTTTTTCTTTTTGAAACAGGATCTCTCTACATAGCCCTGGCTGTTCTGGAACTCACTATGTAGAGCAGGCTGGCCTCGAACTCACAGAGATCTATCTGCTTCTGCTTCCCACGTGCTGGGATTAAAGGTGTGCACCACCATGCCTGACTTATATGTGATTTTCAAGACACAAAAATGTGGGGTTAAAGATCAGCTGTGCAGGTTGGACTTGCTTCAAGGAGTCTCCATGGTCATGACCCTTGCAGTCAGAATCCTGGGTCAGGGAACAGCACTGCAAGGCACGGAGTGGGTCTGACACAGGAGGGAAGACTGTGGGAGATGAGCACAGCTTCTGGGTTGGATCCTAATACTGTCTTAAAACACTCTCAGTCAACAAACATACTCATTTGTTATTCATTCTGTGAGAAACAGACTCAAAGAGATACCCTTAAAAATATTGTCTATTAAGAGAAATATCTGGAAAATGAAGGCAGATGGCGCTGTGGTTAAAAACTTACGCTGTATCATAAGAAGCATCTTGCTTGTGAAAATAAAATAGAGTAGTTTCTGTTTTAAACATTCAAACTACCTTTTTCTTTTACAATAAATCCTATCAAAATTTAAGTATTTTCTTTTAAATTCTTATTATTACCACTGACAGCACGGTACAAACGTCAGGTAAAAAGTCACAGTACTTGGTGAACTGTGAGTTTGTTCCATATTCAATGAAACCAAAGAGCAGTACCCCCCCCCCCCGAAAAGAAAAGGACAGTGAAAAGGTGTGGGGGGTGTTGTGTGTTGGGGAGGAGGAGGCAAAGGGGGAAGCACGGGGAAGGGCACAAGCCAGTGCAGAGCAGGAGCAGAGCCCAGCACTGGCAGCCCCAACAGCAGCTTGGTCTCATAACATTTTACAATGAAATGCTACTTCTACCTTAACACAGGGATGTCCAGGGTTTTTCTCTTTATAAAAAGAACCACCCTCTAGAGGAAGTCAGGACAAGATAAGCCATGTCTCTTGCTTAACAGCTTCTGTACCCACAGTTCTCTGGTTGCGAGGAATCTACTCTCTCATGAACAAGAACCTTGGGGATTTTTCAAAGAAATAAAGTGACAAGAGAAGCCGCATAAAGTAGGGATCCCCAGGGGAGAGCTATTCAGACAGGAACTTCCTCAGACGGGCAGGAGAATGAGATGCCCAGTACCACAAGGCTGGGAGGATCAGGTGGGACAGGCTTCATGGGAGATTGCAGAATAAGGAGCCCACACAGAAAAGCTGATGGTTCTCCCTTCTTTTAGTAGATCTCCACAACCAAAAGCTTCTCAGAGAGGGAGGGTGAAGAACAGACAAGGCATTCCTAGCTCCTCCATTTCCCAAGTACATGCTCTGGTACTGGCTGAGGAGTGGACACAAGGATGGTACCCCACAGCCTCTCACCAGAGAGAAGATAGAACCCCCAGGAACCAGAAGCAGAGCTGGGTGTTGCTGCTGAAGACAAAGGGTATTTCATTCTGACAGGGCCCTTTGAGAAATGAACAAGAACTACAAAGAACAACAGCGCTGTACAGAGAGGATTGCCACAACCAGCTTGACAATGACAAGCAGGTCCACTCAGTGAGCAGCAGCCCTTGTTTTTAATTACACAGATGTCTCAATCAGAAATATCAAAAGAAAACGACATGTTGGAGCAGGGCAGAAAGTACACAGCTTTGATGAGATTCTCTATCCTGAACAAAAGTAAGGCTGGCTGCTGGGCACTGTGGTGTATGCCTTTAATCCCAGTCAGAGGCTAGCAGATCCAGCCTGTTCTACACAGAGAAACTCTGTCTCAAAACAAAAACAAAAGGCAGGCTAACAGACTTCTGTCCTCATGTGCTGGATAACCAAGAAGAGTCCCATGGCTATTCCAATGCGTTTCCTAAAAACCAATTCCTTCTAATACACCTGTTCCCCTCAGAAGTGTTTATACTTTCTCATCTACGTAAACTTCAAGTAATTTATGTTATCTCAGTCTTGACCCAGCTTGGAGGTTAAATGTGGGATTTAGTTTGCCCTCAAACAAATAGGTAAGAATGCCAACAGATAGGAAATAGACTGTTTAAAAAAAAGAAAAGAAACAGCTGGTTAATGTAAGTGTATGCATTACCATAAGCTCTGAGAATACATGAATTAGCAAGAGAAATATGAGTAGGAAAAAAAAATCATCAACCAATGTGTGTGGGAGAGGGATGTTAGCAGTCAAAACAGCCAGGACACCTATAGTTTGCTAAGGGAGAGGGGCAGGAACTCAGAAGCCACTGAGAAGAGAGGAATTTATTCAGTGACTTGAGAGTCACATCCTCAAAACCACACAGTGAGCACACAACTCAAAGTGCCAAGACCCCAGGAGTAGGTGACTCATCTACAAGCCTGGGGCAGCTTCTCAACAGCAGCTTTGACTGTCAACTTTCCCAGCAAGCTGCTGTGGAGGAGTTATGTCAATAATCACAGAATTCAGGAGACTGAGACAGGAGGATTCGAAGTTCACTCTGTGAAGGGAACACAGGAAGACAGTTCTAAATAAATAAATACCCTAAACCAAATCAAATAAACAACAACCAAAAAGACCCAACAACCCCCTGAAAGCAAAAAAAACACCTTTCTCTAGTAAAGATGGCCCCACAGTACAACACAATGGTGCTCAGAAGTGAAAGCTGCAGATGGAAGCAAAGAGATGAACTAGGGAGGCTCAGGAGGCCACCCAAGGGAGCCGAACAGACCTGAGTAGCTTAGAGCGCATACTTCCCTTAGAACCAAATTTACAATTAAAAGACAAACAAAACACATCAAACCCACAATCTATTTGCAGGGAATTATGATCACTTTCAATTACATTGGCTTAAAAAGTTAATGAGCACTTTTCTATTCTTACTATATCTTTTTGCTAAAAACTGCAATGTTTCTATGATCGTCTCCAATGTAAGAAAAGCCAAGAATGGGATAAGGAGCTTCAAATACCTTCAGAACAGTCAACAAGAACCCAATGGGGAAAACGAGTGTCTGAAGTTAAATTAACTCACCCAGTCAGTTGCCCTGGTTTCTGTCAGCTACCACATGAGGTTGTGCAAGTGAGAGAGACAAGGGAGAAATGCAGGTAGTTGTGTTTCCTGCTGAAGCAGGCCTTGAGGGATGGTACATCTATAACTGTCCCCATAAGATACTTCAGAAATCAACATTCTCTATGTCAGTGAATCTGGGCAGAAGCAGGATTCCACATTGACCTTTTGGGTCATGCCTTTTAGCATCTGCTAAAGGAAGAATGAGCACAGAGCACAGCTGCTGAAGCACTCTGCTTGGCAGGGTCTGTCAGCCTGCCCAGCAGCTTATTAGATGGTGATTTGTCCTGAGCTATCTGTAGTAAAATAATGAACCAAGTTAGCATCTCCATGGAGATGATTAGATTCCAGAGTCAACATTCTCTAGTATCATTAAGGGAAGTGAGCAGTTCTCTAAGAGCTGAGGCTAATGTTTCCAGCTGCTTGTAATTTCTTCTATTGTTGTTGTTTTGCTTTGTTTTCAAGACACGATTTCTCTGTGTGCAGCCCTGGCTGTCCCGGAACTTGCTTTGAAGACCATGCTAGCCTTGAACTCAGAGATCCACCTGACTCTGCCTGCAAATGCTGGGATTAAAGGCATGTGCTGCCCTGCCTGGCTGCTTGTAATTTCTAACAGCACAAAATTTATTAAACGATTTTCCTTTCCACACCCAGAAGACCCAAAACCATCTGAGGGGACAAGAGAACAAAGCTGAATCTGGAGGAAAGATCACTGCATCGCAGACTTTGCTCTCTATATTCACAGATTTCCAAAGGAGGAAGCATGGGCATTTTAAAAGACATAGTCTGTAAACCTGATCCTGCCTCTGGGTGGCCCCTGAAGCCTGGGAACCAAGATGCCCTAGTATTGTTGTAAATTAAAAAGTGAGTATTGGGCTATAGAATGTTTATCATTAGCCCTGTAATTATTGCAGTGGTATTATCTTACCTGCTATCACAAATAATAAGACACACACACCTGTTAGATTTATAATTTCCTTATTTACCTTGGGCCAGGCAGATACTTCACTTACTCTGTCTCAGTGATCCTGCTCAGCATTACCTAACCCAGACACCCATCTCCTTTCCCAGACTGCTGTGGCCAGACAGCTGCTTCCATTGATTTCACCGGGACAAGAAAGAACAGGTTGGAAAACAACAGGAGTATAGGTGGTAAGGATCAACAGATGTGACAACTATGGCTTGACTACTGTCAACCACCTGTAACCATATATTTATATGTACCAGCCAAACTTGATGGCAGATTTCACACAGCTGAATTCTCCAACTGACTCCAGTGAAATGGGACGGGCAGAGGAAGAAAATAACAAATGTTCACAGCCTACCTGATGAGGGACTCAAGTATGGCAGGTGTGGGCCCTTTCTGGAACTCCAGTTCCTTGTAGTGTAGTGCTTTGGCGTATGCTCGGCACTTGGCAGCTCTCTCACCCAAAAGCACGATGCCATTGTCATCTCTCAGTGGCAGGGGGCCCTATACAGAAAAACATAGGCACATGGTAGATGGGCACACACAGAGCAGGCTGTGTGGATGCTTCCCCTCCACTAGCTGGTGGTCTATCACTGTCCACTGGGACAGCTGGGGAAAGCCCCACCTTGTCACTGTGTTCCATGAACTCAGCCAAGTTCAAGAGGGTTTGCGTGACTTCGGCAATGTCTTGAGAAGTGAGGGCCAACTCAATGCTTCTGATGAGCTCATCTTGCTGGTCTTCATTCAGTTCAGACCAGCAGGAAACAAATGCAGCATTGAAGAGATCCCTATAAGCACAGGAACAGAGAAGGACGGCAATATCACCCCTCACACCTTTTGCTGGAGCCACAAGTACTATCAACCTGTTTCTGACACTGCAATGCTGCCTGACAGAACTTGTCGGACGCTAGCCAGACCTTCCTCAAACAGCGTAGTAACTGTGGCGAATAAGGAAAGAATTTTAAAAGAACCACATGTACCTACTGATGCTAAACTTTTTGTCTGTTTGAGCCAGGGTCTCACACTGTATCCCAGACTGGCTTCAAACTCACAGTAATCTACCTGCTTTAACTTCCCAACTGCTGTGATTTTAGGCATCCATCATCAAGCCTAGCAATGACAAATATATCTTTTAGGGCAGGTACAGACAAATTACACAGGAACTGTGGGAGAGTGGGGTGGGCAGAACACAGCAAACTAACTTCTCTTCACAGTTATGTTTCCTGGCAGTTTCTCCTCACTGGGATGAACAGAAAGAGAACTTTTTTCTTTCTTTCTTTTTTTTTATTGTTTATTATTATTAGTTACATTTTATTAACTCTGTATCCCAGCTGTATCCCGCTCCCTTATTCCCTCCCAATCCCACCCTCCCTCCCTCAGCTTCTTCCTGCCCCTTTCTAAGTCCACGGATTGGGGAGGACCTCCTCCCCTTTCGTCTGGCCCTGTTTTATCAGGTATCTTCAGGGCTGGCTGCAAAGTCCTCCTCTGTGGCCTAGCAGGATTGTTCCTCCCTTGGGGGGTGGGGAGGTCAAAGAGCCTGCCATTGAGTTCCTGTCAGAGATAG